TGCGGCTCCAGGGCTGTGCCCGCACACTTCGGGAGCCTCATCCACCTCCGGAACCCCGAAGTGGCCATCAGGAGCTGCCTGGCCCCTTGCCCGGAGAAGGAAGCCCCCAAGGAGGGCGTGCAGTCCATCTCCAACATCGTTTACAAGATGGGCAAGAAGCCCGAGCTGCCCCACGTCCCCATCCAGTACCACAGCCAGCTCCCCAAAACCGACCTGGTGATCTCGTGCCCGGGAGCGCGGCCGGAGCACGCCGTGGCCTGGGACAAGGGCTCCGTCCGCCTCTACCGCTCCTACTACCTGCTGGGGGTCCGGAAGCACATGAGGCTCTTCATCGATCATGGGAACCACCTGCACATCCAGCGAGTGCGCAGCAGGGACAAAGCCACCTACTTCTGCTGGCGGGAGGGCGAGCTGGTGGCCGGCTTCCAGCTCAGTGTCACCTTCCAGCCCCGGCGCCAGCGGAGCCCCAGCGACCCCGAGTCAATCTTCGTCATGAGGGCTGTGGGCATCAGCTTTGCCATCGTCATCGGCATCTTCTTCCTCGTCCACCTGTCCCGCTGCAGCTCTCAGGTGTTCAGGAAAGCGGACAAGCCATAGCAGCTCCCCCACAGGACACACCTTGGATCACCCTGGCACAGGAAATTTCCAACGTGAAGACCATTTTTGTATATTTTAGTTTCAACATTTTTTTCAACGTTTGGTTTTGAGTTTTTGAAGGGAAAGTTTTTTGGGTTTCTTTTTTGTTCAAATAATCTGGCAATTTTCTTCAGAACTGTCTCTGCTTTTGAGGTGTTCTTAACTCACCCAACTCAGCACAGAATTGGGAGTTAGTATTTGTGCCTGACAGAGTTATCTTACACATCCCCCAAAGGTGGTGGCATCTCTGCAGGGTTTCAGCAGGGAGCAGGATGTGCCCTCCAGGCTCATCTCCTTTGTTTGAGGACATGACTTGAGGATTTCAACATTCCCAAGACAAATCCTGCTGTCCAGGAGGGCAACTGTGGGTCCCAGTGATGCTCTGGCACTCGAACCATGTCGATGATGGTGAGACAAACACCTGGTGAAGACATGAGAAGCAAAGTCAGGGAGGGACAGAGATATGGAAAACAATCTGCATCTCCCACACTCAGGGATGGAGCAGGGTACAGCTGGTTGGGTCCTTGAAGGGCAAGAAACCCACACAAAGCCCCAGCATGAGGCAGGAGGGCTCACACACAGAGGCAGCTCCAGGCCTGACTCTCCCTGGGGACTTTGTCACCAAACTCAGCCCCCAGACAGAGCCTGACCGTGTCCCCAGGGTGGCACCAGACAGGGCTGTGGGTGCCAAGCCCAGGGCTGGTGCAGGCCAGGGGGAACACAGCCACCAAGACTCACCTGGCAGCACTGCTCCGTGCTTCCCCTCTGAATCCCTAAAAATATCCCAGTAGAACCCAAAGTACTTCCAAAGTACTTCCCCCACTGCCCTGTAATCCCCTCTTCCTCCCCCCCCCCGGATTAACCCCTGCAGGACCAGAGGCTCTGCAGCCATGGTTTGCTCGCTGGGAGGCAGAGCTGGCAGCAGGAAGGGCAGAATTCCAGCACAGCTCAGGGATTTGTGCAGGCAGGAATCCAGGAGCCACCAAGGAGCCCAGCTGGGAGCTGGCTGGAAAAGCACACAGACACCTGGGCTGCTCCCCTGCCAGCAGCAAGGAGCGAGGTACCAGGCTCAGGCTGAAGTGACAGCCAGAGCCTCCGTCTGCCCAGGCAGCTGTGACAGCCCTGGAATTCGGGAAGGGCTTGGTTGGAACTGAAACCCACATGTAGCTTTGCACCCAGACAGCAGAGAGCACACGAACAGAGCCCCTGGGGAGCAACGTTCCCAGCTCAGGGCTGAGGGGGACAGCCCTGGGATGCTGGTCCTGGCACAGGTGTGCAGGTGTGTTTTCAGCACCGTTTGCAGCAGCAGTGGGGGCGATCCCAGAGGCAGCAGCCCTCACCTGGAAGATGGCGTGGGAGCGGGAGGAGGCGGCGTTGGCCTTGGTGGGACGCTGTGCCCGGTTTTTGTTGCCTTTGGCCAACATGTGCAGGAGCTGCTCTGGTGACGTGGGCTGGGGGAGAGCGGGCAGGGGCGGCATCAGCACCTGGGCACGGCAGCCGGGCACCCCCAGGCCGAGCAGCCCCGGGCAGTGGGGCCGGGGCTCCCGGCAGCTCTGCGGGCCCCTGGCAGCTCGGGGCCACGTCTGCTGCCAGCCAGGAGGCACCTGGGACCTCCCCAGCCCATGTCCCCAGGACTCCCAGCTGCTCTCAGCACGGGTGCAGGCACAGAACAGTTTCAGGCTGTGTGGTTTGGGGTTGCTGTTGTGTCTCCCCATTCCCACAGGGCTGCTGGAGGACACGGCTCCAGTTCCAATGTCTGGGTCCTCGTCCACTCCTTAAGCTGGGGGTGGGTTCAGCTGGAGGGTGCAGTGGGGGACAGAGATCCACAGGCTGGGAGAGGCCTCAGAGACTCCCCCTGGGCTCTGTTTCCCACCCCCTCCCTGTGCCATCCCTGGCCAGTGCCCCCTTAGAGCCCCCTGTGAGCCTGGATCCCCTTCAGACCCCCTAAAACCACAGCTTCCCCAGTTATTCTACAACGATTTTTGGCTCCCAAAGCCCCTCTCCCAGCTCCCCTTTGGGCTCCCACAGGACTCCCCATGAGGGGAGCAGGGGTTCAGGAGCAGCTCCCAGCTGAGCTGGCCTGAAAAGGACACTTGTTCTGCGCTCCATTGTGGCTTCCCCCATCTCCATCATCCCGGGGTCCTGCGGGGGCCTCTGCACCCTCTTCTGGGCCGGGGGAGCTCTGGGCACCCTGCTCAGTGTCCCACAGTGCAGGTGAGGGCTGGGGGAGCCACCTGCCCTCCTGGGACCTGACACTCTGTATAGTGACAGGGAAAAGGTTTTGTTCTGTATTCTGTTCTGTATTTGTCCTGCTCTGGTTTTGTTCTGTATTTTGTTCTGTATTTTGTTCTGTATTTTGTTCTGTATTTCCCCCCTGCTCCAACCCCATCACTGCTACCCCTGTGACACCCCCACCGTGGGACAGAGACCCCCAAGCACCCAACCCAGGGACCCCTGTGATCCCTTTTCCTGCCGTGCCGGGGCACATCTGGCGCTGTCAAACCTGGCTCCCTGCACCGGCTCCTCAGAGGCGCCCTCGGCGGTGCCCTCGGTGGCAGGAGCGGGGCCGGTGCCGGGGCAGCCCCGGGCGCTGCTGTCCCTGCCCGGCTGGTCTCGCCTTTGTCTCCTTGAGCCTGGAAGCTTCCAGTTAAAACTGCCAGCCCGCTCCCAGTTCGTTTGTCTCATTAGGGGGGGAGGGGGCCGGAGAAGAGGAAGAGGAGGAGGAGGAGGAGGAGGAGGAGGGGGAGGAGGAGGAGGGGAGCCCCGCTCTGCCTCCCGCCGCTGCCGGCAGCGCAGCTCCCCGTGCTTTGGCGGCGCTGCGCGGGAATCGATCCCCGGGGAGCAGCGGGTGCCCACACAGGACCCCAAAGGTCCCCAGCCCCCGCTCTGTGCCCTCTCCACCCCAGTGCACCAGGGAGGGGGATGTCCTGTCAGCAGAGCTGTCACACAGCACGTGTCTCCAGGGATGCCACTGCTGTCTGGGGACACAAGAGTCACTGGGGATGTGAAGGTGCCCCAAACCTGGAATTTTTGTGGGCACAACGCCTGGTGACACCGGCACAGGACAGCCGGGGGAGCACGGGGCTGGCTGGAGGCAGCGAGCTTCTGGGGGTTACAGAAGGAGGTGGGAGCTGTCCCAGTCCCACCAGTCTCACCAGTATGGTCCCTGCTGGCCCTGGGTCTCCCCAGACTGCATCCACAGGGACGCAGCCATTGCCACAGCTCTCCCCACTGGCCACTGTGGGTGGTGGTGGCCGTGGTCCAGCGGGGTGTCCCTGTCCCACGGCAGCCAAGAGCCTTTCCCGGCCATCGGCTGCCATCTACTGCCAGCGGCGGGGCCAGCCCCTGTCCCTGTCCCCGTTCCTGTCCTTGTCCCTGTCCCTGTCCCTGTCCCTGTCCTTTCCCTGTCCCTGTTCCCGTTCCCATCCCTGCCCCTGTCCCATCCCTGTCCCTGTCCCTGTCCCTGTCCCTGTCCCTGTCCCTGTCCCTGTCCCTGCAGCAGAGTCCCAGGGACTCCCCTGTCCCCTGCTTCACCCCGGCTGCCTCTCGGGGCACCCACCCGGTGCCACCACGTGTCGCTCATGTCCCCGTGTCCTCAGCACACTCCCATCCCTTCCCCGGGCGGTGCCCAAGTCCCCTCCATGTCCCATGGCCATTACTGGGACTGTGCCTGGGAGGGGAGGGGCTGGCGCTGGCCCCGTGCCCGGCCCTGGATCAGCCCCCGCGCTTCCCGGCAGGGCCGTGCCCTGGCACAAAGGCTCCTCCCGGCTGTGCCACGGCTCTGGCTCCGCACAAAGCTTCTTTCAGCCGCTGCGGAAAGCCCCTGGCAGCCCCCGCCTTGTGCCACCGGGGGCAAAAGGCCCCCCAGACTCCGTGCATGTGTGCCAGTGCCACGGGCATGCACACTCAGCTCTGTGGGGTCAACACCTTCCCACGGGGACCCTGGAACATTGGGGACGGGGACCGGGGCTCCAGGGCCACCAGCCAGTGCTTCCACAGGCCCATTGGGATGGGGACTTAAGGCTCCAGCCACCCAATTAGCAGCTGGTCTTCATTAGCAGCACCCCCAGTGCCCCATGTAACGCGCCCAGCCTGGCACCAGCTCCCACCCACGGGTCCCGTGGCCAGCGCTGTGTCCCCACCCTGGCGCGATCCCCAGCCCAGGAGCGGGGGCAGCGCTGGGCAGGGGCCGTGCCGCGGTGCCCGGGCTGGCTGCCAGGGCACAGCCGCCCCCGCGGGCGCCACAGCCGGCTCCGTGCCCGCCCGCTGGCTCCGGGCCGGGGGCAGCGCCGGGCAGCCGGCGGCACGGGGGCTCGGGCTCCATAAAACCCCTCGGCCGGGCACATCGCGCCCACCCGCCCGGCATGGAGAGCCGGCGCCTGCCCTCCTACGGCCGCCGCTTCGGCCCCTCGGTGCCCGGGTACCGGCTGCTCCCCGGCAGCGCCCCGGCCCGGCTCCGGGCGCCCCGCAGCCCGCAGCTGAGCCCCCGGCCCGCCTCGGGCAGGATGGATTTCTCGCTGGCCGCGGCGCTCAACTCGGAGTTCAGGGAGACGCGCACCAACGAGAAGGCGGAGATGATGGAGCTCAACGAGCGCTTCGCCAGCTTCATCGAGAAGGTGCGGCTGCTGGAGCAGCAGAACAAGGCGCTGCTGCTGGAGCTGAGCCAGCAGCGGGAGCGGGAGCCCTCGCGTGCCGACAGCTACCGGGAGGAGCTGCGGGAGCTGCGGCGCCGCGGGGAGCACTTGGCCACCGCCAAGGCCCGGCTGGAGATGGAGAGGGACAACCTGGCCGAGGAGCTCGGCAGCCTCCAGCAGAAGTAAGGCACTGAACAGCTCGGGGTGGCCCCGGGGACCAGGGTGGCCACTGGAACCAAAGTGGCAGCAGGGAACAGGATGGACACCAGGATGGGGATCAGGATCTTCCTGGTGATGGGAACCGTGGTGGTGACAAAGACCAGGGTGACCCCTGGGACCAGAATGGAGCCAGGTGTTCCCCGGGGTCAGAGTGGCCCCGACACAGGAGCAGGGTAGCCGTGGGGACCAGGGACTGGTGCGCACCAGGATTGTGATGGGATACGGGTGACTCCTGGGAACAGTGTGGGATGGTGTGGAGTGGGCACAGGAGCTGACCTGGGTTTGGGGGGATGCTGTGGGGCTGTGTCAGCCCAGGGGGTCTGTCTGTGGGCTGAGAGTGACCAGCCATGGTGCTGGATGTGTAACTGCTCTGGCACAGGCTGCAGGACGAGGTGACCCTGAGGCTGGAGGCTGAGAGCAACCTGGCTGCCTACAGACAGGTGAGGGCAGATCCCAGCTTGGCCTCCCTTGGAATGGGCAGGGATGGGGTAGGGATGGACAGGGAGGTAGCAGGGACAGGAAGGGATGGGCAGGAGCAGGAACTGAGGGACTGGTATGTGTTACAATGGGCAGGTAAGGAGCGGGAATGGAGCAGGGATGAGTGGGAAGGGCAGGGATGGACAGACATGGAACATGGATGGGCAGGAATGGCAGGAGCAGGCAGTGAGAGACTGGGGCTGGGCAGAGAGAGGCAGGGCTGGGTGGGAGTGGAAGGGAATGGACATGAGCAGGCAGCTCAGGACCCGGGTGGCCAGCTGAGTCAGTCCCTCCTGTCCCCCCGTGGTGACAGGACGTGGACAATGCTGCCTTGGCTCGCCTGGACCTGGAGCGGCGCGTGGGGACCCTGCAGGACGAGATCGCCTTCCTCCACAAGGTCCACGAGGAGGTAACCCCGCTCTGGAGCTGGGGGCTGGGGCTCAGGGGGCTGCCCTGACCCCGCTGTCCCCACAGGAGCTGCGGGAGCTGCGGGAGCAGCTGGCCCAGCAGCGGGTGCTCGTCGAGGTGGACGCGAGCAAGCCGGACCTGACGGCCGCGCTGCGCCACCTCCGCAGCCAGTACGAGGCCATGGCCGCCAGCAACGCCCAGGAGACCGAGGAGTGGTACAAGTCCAAGGTGCAGTGGGAGCTGGTTGCCCCACAGATGGATGGCTTGGCTGTCCCCTCCCAGGGTGTCACCATCTCGGGGCCGGGGTTGGTGTGCGGGGTTTGGGATCTCTGCTGTCCCCATTGGGCCAGGGATCTTTCTCCTTGCCACGTGTTCTGGGGCCACGACCCTGCTGTGGAGCAGAGCAGGGTTGTGTTCCCACACCAGAGCACATCCCTGCCCCGTGCCCCCCTCCCATGGCACACGTCCCCTGTCCCAGTTCGCAGACCTGACGGACGCGGCCGCCCGGCACGCCGAGGCCCTCAGGGCGGCCAAGCAGGAGGCCAACGAGTACCGGCGCCAGCTCCAGGCCCTCACCTGCGACCTGGAGGCTCTGCGGGGCTCGGTAGGTGACAGCCGTGGGGTGCAAGAGCAGGGACACGGCCTCAAGGAGCTGCCAGCGCCGGGGGTTCCCCGGCAGGACCAGCACCCACAGCCAGGGGAACGGCTGGTCCCCAAGGGTGGGAGATAGATGGACACTGGCGAGAGCCCCAGCTCCTGGGAGAAGGTGGCCATGGGGGTTCACAGCCCCCTTGACCCCAGAACGAGTCCCTGGAGAGGCAGCTGCGGGAGCTGGAGGAGCGCTACGCCCTGGAGACGGCCGGCTACCAGGACACGGTGGGGAGGCTGGAGGAGGACATCCAGAGCCTCAAGCAGGAGATGGCCCAGCACCTGCAGGACTACCAGGACCTGCTCAACGTCAAGCTGGCCCTCGACATCGAGATCGCCACGTACCGCAAGCTGCTGGAGGGCGAGGAGAGCAGGTGACAGCTCCATCCTGCCCTCACCCCACCCAGCCATGCCCCTAACCCAGCCCAGGTCCTCGTGGTCCCTCTGGGGTGTCCAGCAGGACCTCGTGCTCTTCCCAATGCTGCCATTGCCCCTGCAGGATCACCATCCCTGTGCAGAGCTTCTCCAAGCTGCAGATCCGAGGTGAGGCTGTGCCCCACGTGGGGAAGGGGCAGCAGGATGTGGCACAAACGGGGGGCTTCTGGGGGCTCTGAGGCAGGAGAAGCCACCTTGGCATCCCTGCCCCATTCAGAGGGATCAGGAGGTTTTTCTCTGAATCCCAGGGAACCTCCTGGGTGCTCCCAGGGTGGGGGGAGAAGGTGCCATGGCCATATCCCCAAGGCTGAACGTGTCCCCAAGGCTGATGATGTCCCCAGCACTGATCACATCATCATGTCTTCAATGACAACCACATCCCTAAGGCCAACTCTCTTCCTCAGTGACAACTGTGTCCCCAAGGACAAGCCTGTCCCCAAGGTCAATCACATCCCAAAGCCACCCCCTGTCCCCATGGTTTACAACATCTCCAAGGCCAGAAATGTCCCCAGCTGTCCCCGCAGCCTAACAGTGTCCCCAGAACACATCAGATCCCACGGCCTGCCACATCCCCAATGCCAACCATGTCCCTGAGGCCAGCCCTGTCCCTGAGGCTGGTTGTGTCTCCATGCTGTCTCTCATGGTTCAGGGGTTTCCAGCCCAATCCATTTTCTTTGAGCTTCTCCTCTTGAGTGTGGCTGGAAGGGCCATACCCTGGGCAGGGTGTCACTGCCTTGTCCTGCCCATGTCCCCCAGAGACCAGCCTGGACACCAAATCTGTGTCAGAAGCTCACGTGAAGAGGAGCATCGTGGTCAAAACTGTGGAGACCCGAGATGGAGAGGTGGGAAATGCTCATTTGTGTCACCCACGCTCCCTCCCCACCTCCCCACAGGGTGCCCAAGGGACTTGCACATGGGGCCACCATCCCCGAGCCCCACAGGCAGCCCAGGCAGGGAGCCAGTGATCCCTGAGGGTGTGGCACGATCTGACTCCAGGTCATGGTGGAGCTGAGGCTGGCAGCTGATAGAGAAAGCTGTCCTGTCCTGTCCCTGTCCTTGTCCCCAAGCTCGTTCAGAGCCCGGGCAGGCCCAGCCGGTGGCAGAACCCGATTCGGGGCTGAGGATCCCTCTGCCTCCACCTGCAGGTGCTGAAGGAGTCCAAGCAGGAGCCCAAGGAGGGGCTGTAGGGCGGGGGAGCCGCAGCAGCCGCAGCCCCGCAGGTCCCACGGGAGCCCCGGGCCGGGCAGAGGCACAGGAGGGGCCGGTGGCGCTTGGGGGGCACCTCCCTCCCGTGCACCCCTCGCCTCTCCCCGTGCCCAGGGTCCGGTGGCACCCGTGAGGGGCTGGCAGCCGGCAGAGATCCGCTCGGACCGGGCAGCACCGCGGGAGGCCGGCGGAGCCGGGCGGGGCCGGGATGCTCTCAGGTTTGGGGGCCCTTCCTGCCTCATCCTGGTCTCCAGGGAGAGTCTCTGTCCTGTTTCATCTCCGTGCACCCTCAGACAACACGGTGGTGCCAAGAGCATCTCCCTGCATCCACTCTCTGGCCTGGGAGGCCTCCCTGCATCTCCCCAGGGCACCCAGACCCTGAGACCCTCGGCTGGGGGGACGCAGGGCCGAGGTACCGGCTGGAGAGGGACATTTCCCTGTCACCAAGCACTGGGTGAGCTCAGCTGGGAGGCAGGGCAGGGGGGAGGATGGAGAGGCAGGGAGGGAGAAGGAGGACGATGGAGAGGCAGGGGCAGGAGGAAGAGGAGAGTGGAGGAGCAGGATGCTCTTGGGATGGTGGCAAGGAGTGACAAAGCAGGCATCAGGAGGGGATCCTGAGGTGTCTGGGGTGGGTTGTGGGGCTACACAGTGGCCTCAAGGGCTTCTCCTGGCACAGAGCCATGGGGCTGTCCTGATCCCACTGGGTGACTGCCACCAAGGTGTCCCCAACACAGGAAAAACAGGAAAAACCAGACCTGAAGGGTGACCCATGGCCCTGTGGCAGGGGAATCTTATGCAGGTGAAAATGGAGAGGAGAGAAGAAGGGTGCAGAGGAGGAGGAACAGGAGGAAGGCGTCAGGGCACCTGTGAGGGTCTCACAGCCCAAGGTGCCACCTGCAACCAAGGAGTGACGGGGGAGTCTCGTCACTCTGGGAGCCAGGGACTCTGGGGCTGCCCCAGCCACAGTCCCTGCCCCACACACAGCTGAGCCCACCCTCCATGGGCAATCAGGAAGGGACTGGAAGAAATCCCTTGTCCCTGGGCTGCACGGGGCCCTGTCCCCAACCCGTCCTCCCTCCGAGCAGCACTCGCCCCCAGGGCCATTGCCCAGCCCGGTGCTCGCCACAGCCCCGACCCCACCCTGGCTGCAGCCACTGACCACGAGCAGGACCTGCCTGGTGCCTCCTGACACAGAACAAGGAGCCAGCAGCACCTCCCGTGCCCTGAGAGCCTTTGGGATGAGCACACGGCTGCCCTCGGGCGCTGTCCCCTCTGTCCCCTCTGTCAGGGGCTGAGCAGCTCTGCTCTGACCCCAGACACACAGCCCAGCCCCAGAGCTGCGTTCCCAGGGCAGGAGGTGTTTTGGGAGAGCTGGGTGGTGCCCGGGGCAGGAATGCAGGGGGATGGGACGCCAGGAGCAGCCTCCCTTGCTGCCGAATTAATGCACTAACGCTGCTGCAGGATGAGAATAAAGCTAACGAACACACTGAGCTTCCATGGCTGTGCCTGCATCCACCTCTCTGCAGCCAGCACTGTGGGGCTTTGGGATTATCTGGGGTGGTGGGGACCTCTGGGAGCCCAAACCAATCCTAACGTTGCAGGAGAAGGTGCCCAGGGCATGGATACACTCCAGGGGCCAACAGCCAGAAGGGACTAAGCAGAGGGAGGGGATGCAGGGATCACACACAGCCAGCAGTGGGGTGGGAGAGATCCCTTCCCTGATGGGAATCAGGGATCTCCTGGGGGTTCTTCACCCTCAAACCCAGCTCCTTCCCCACACAATGCCAGGCTGCAGCTCCTGGGGGGCTGCCAGGGTTGGCTGCAGCTTTGGGGCTGAGGGTGGATTGGAGCTCCTGCACATCACCAAACGGTTCAAGGGCCAGAGCAGCACTGGGGGCCTCCTGGACAGAGAGACAGAGGGAGTTCTGCTGAACTCCTCAGCCACATCCTCAGAAGAAGGAGATGAGCCTGGAGGGCACATCCTGCTCCATGCTGAGGATTAAGTGTCCACCAAAACCCTGCAGAGCTGTCACAACCTTTGGGGGATGTTTGAGGTGACTTTGGCAGGCACAAACATTGACTCTCAGCTGTAGGGAGTTGGGTGAGTTAAAAGCACCCCAAAAGCAGCCATTTCTGCAAAAAATCACCAAATCAGTTTGAAAAATATTCTTCCCTTCACAAGTTTAAAAAAACCAACAACAACAAAAATTAAAAGGTATGGGTTTGCTCCAGCTGAGGAGCTCAAAAGGGACCCTGAAGGGTTTGACAACATCAAAAATTAAAAGGTATGGGTTTGCTCCAGCTGAGCTCAAAAGGGACCCTGAAGGGTTTAGGACACACAGTTCTCAACATGGAAAACAAGGCAAACAAGGGTGAGGAAAGCCAGTATTAATTGGATTAAAATAGTTTGGTGGATGTTTTTAGCAGCCTCTTAGAAAAACAGCTGTAATAAATCACTGGTGCAGATCAAGAACTCTACAGTTTGGCCAGAACATCTTGCACCAGCTCCAAGTTTTCTTTTGAAAAGGACTTTATTGAGCTTTAACTCCCACTGCCAACCAAGGGAGAGCCAGGAACAAATCCTGGCAGTGTGAAATCCCACCTGGAGCAAACCCTGGCACTGTCAAATCCTGCCTGTCCCTACTGAGCTGTGCCCAAACAGGGACTTTCCCACATCAGTCCTTGCTGTCCTTCACCTGCCCTGAGGGGAGGGAGAGCAGGAATTTGGCAGTGTTTGAATGTTGATGGCCAGAACAGGGGAATTTCCAACCGGAGAAGGGCCCAGGGCATCCAAGTGCCCCTGGGGATGATGTCCCAGCCTGGATGGGGTCTTGAATGCCTGCCAGCAGCAGCCCATGTGGGCAAGGATGATGATGATGCCCATGGTTGTTCTCTGTGGATCCTGTCTGGAAGCCCACATGGGTAAGGATGATGATGATGATGCCCATGTTTCCTCCCTGTGGACCCTGTCTGGATGCCCAGGTGGGTGAGGATGATGATGATGAAGATCATGTATCCTGGACCCCACCTGGCCCCTCAGCTCAGCTCTCAGCAGCTCAGCTCACACCATGACCTGGCTGACCTGGAAAGGGCCCCAGTGGGTCTCACAGCCCCATCCTGTCACCATTCCCACAATCTCGGCTCCACTGCATTTCTCCTGAGTCTTCCCACCAATCCCCAGGGATTTTGCCTTTCCCAAGAGCTGGGGATGCAGCAGGCTGCTCCCAGCCTTGCCCTCCTCACCCTGAGCCTTGGCACCACTCAAGCAGCGTGCCTGTTCCCACCAGAGCTGTGACACTTCTGCTGGGGCTGTTCTGGCATCAAAATCCTCCATCCTGATCTTGGGTAGCTCCAGGATGTTCTTTTGCTGAAGTCTCCAGAGCTCAGCTGTTGTCAGGTGTGCAAAGGCAGGAGGAATGGCACCACGGCAGAGTGCAGGGACACACATGTCCCCTCAAGGGGTGCCACGAAGGCCAATATTCCCATTCCAGGCCTCAGGGATGAACCTGGACCTGCCATCAGGTGTCTGGTGGTTTCTCCAGGGCAGGTGGAGCAGGTGCTTCCAGTCTGCTGGGGTGACTCTGCCATTTGCTGCACTGGGTTTGGGGGAAAAATGAAACTGAGTTGTCACTGTCATAAATTATATCACCTGGAACCCCTCAGTAAATGTGAACAGGGGTGGAAGAGGAAAGGGACTATCTGGGTTTGGGTTTCTCCTTCAAAACCACCACCCTGTTTTCTTTCCCTTGGATTTGTCCTTATCCAAGAGACTCTCCCATACCCATCTGTGAGGGCACCCTGCTCAGAGACCGCAGCACCACAGCCTGGGAGTTAAACTTTATTGTGCACAACTTGTGCCCTGGCTGATGCCAAAGTCAAGCTTTGAGGTTTCTGCTCAATCCTGGTGCTCCTGCTCCCTCAGCTGACCTGGTAACACTTCATCAGCTCCACCACTGTCCTCTCCTCCTCACTTTCCTTTTCCAGGTGGGTCTCCATGGGATGGGTTTTCCTCCCAGCCTCACAGCTGGCCAGGCAGCCAGGCTGGCCAGCAGCCTGCCAATCCCTGCTCTGCAGCTTCCTGAACAAGTCCTGGCTGCTCTCCTTCTCTGCCTGGCTCAGCAGAGCCACGTTCAGCCCGAAGCGTTTGGTGGCCGCCAGGCTCTGCAGGATCTGAAGGATGGCAGCTCTGTCTCCAGGATGGATGTTCTCTGCCAGCACTGTCAGGAATTCCCCCAGCAGGCCAAAGCCCACATCAGCCTGGAAGATCCTGCCCAAGGCCTCCCCTCCGAGCTCCAGCAAAAACTGGTATTTCTCTGTCCCACTTTTCATGCACCTGCGCCAATCTCGGTGAAATTCTGCAGCGGTGCCAGGCAGCTGATCCAGCTCCTGGAGGAGAGAGGCACACTCAGGTCCTTTTGTTTTGGTCCCACTTGAAGACTTTGATCCCCTCACCCCAATCAGCCCATGGACAGCTGAGATGTTTTGACCAGGGGCTTTGGCAGCACAAGGAGCTGCTGAGGGGGAAAAAGGGAAGGCAAGGAAATGGCAGGTGCCTTCAACCCTGAGAAACCAGGAAAATCCAGAGGAAAAGGGGAAAACAAGGAAATTGCAGGTGCCTTCAACCCTGAGAAACCAGGGAACTCCAGGGGGAAAGGGAAGTGAGGATGAGCTGTGACACCCAGTGTGAACACAGAGGGCTGTGGAGTGACCCCAGCCCCAACCAGAGTCAGACTCTCTGCCCAGCCTGGATCCACCAGCACTGCCTGGGAAGGGATCTCATGGAGATCAGGGCAGGGAACACTCTGAGCACAGGGAGGAAAAACCAGGGAGTGGCAGAGAAAAGGTGGGAGATGCAAACCCCAGAAAACGTGCAGGTGCCCTGTCTGGTACCACCTGGCATTGGTGGGTCTGTGGCAGAGCAGAGGCTGAGAGCTGAGCTCCAAGGGGCATTCCCAGGTAAAGGAAATCCCATTTTATACCAGCTCTAATGAACTGCTGAGCCCAGCCCCGCTGGGCCACCAACACACAGGCTGAAAGAGGAGGCAAATGTGCAGCTTTTCTACAGCCAGGGAACAAAGCTAAGTGACATCAGCTGGGGCTGAGCACAGCTGGAGAAGCTCTGGAGATCTGAGCCTGGTGCTGATGGGACCAGGAGCAGGATTTGCTTGGGGAGATCATTGCTCAGTCCAAGCAAACACAGCCCTCCTCAGGAGAGTTGCAAAAGACCTTATAATAAACAGAGGTCAGTGAAACCCAGCATCATAAACAACACTTAAGATTGTTTACAAGACCATCCATGAAATTGCCTTATCATGGGAAACATCCATGGGAAACATCCACTGCCCAGGACACCCCAGCATGGACAGAGCCCAGGGCAGGGGCAGGAGGTGACTCCAACCACAAATGAGCTGGACAGAAAATGTCCTGTCCCTTTCCCACTGCTGAGGGACCCAGTGAGTTCATCAGGCTCAGGCAGATTAACCCAAGCCAGCTCTTTTCCATGACCATTAAACCATGGGCAGTTCCCTGTGCTCAGGGAATCTCTGCAGCCAGAGGCTGCTCCAGGGAGGATCCCGGTGCTCAGCCCTGGCTCTGGGCTCTGCAGCTGCTCCCAGCCAGGAGGGACAGCTCCCAGCCTGCTCCTGGCCACCGTGGGAGCTCTATGCAGCCAGGCCTCCATTCCCACAGGAAGGGAGCAGACTCCTCCTGAAGAGGCCCAGCCTGATCCAAACTCTGATATTCCAGGGGCCAGGAGGGCTGGCTCACACCAGAGCGAGTCCTGAGTAACTCCTGCATTGCAATTAACACCTGGGGGATTCCTGAGTCATTTCCAGCTGTGCAGGAGGCCCCAGCAGCCTCTCCCTCACCTGTGGGATCTCCCTCACCTGTGGGATCTCCACAGTGCAGAGAGGTGCTGTCTCAGCTGGGGCTGCACAGGGATTCCACAGCACACTCCTCCTCTGTCCCAGCCTGTCCTTCTTCTCCAGGGGCTTCAGGTGAGAAGCCAGCACAATCTCCCTAAAGGGAAGAGGGACAGGAGGAACACGTGGCAAGAGAAAACACTTGGAGGCTCCAAGCTGCTGCTCTGGGCCAATTTCTGACTTTGGGCTGTGTGGAGCACCCAGAGGGGCTGGAGGAGCAGGCCCTGACCAACACAAGGATAAACCAGCTTGAAATCCCTCGGGAATCCCATCAAGATATTCGGGGAGAAGCCACAAGAAAGTGTTTCCTGCCCCTCAGGGATCAGGTGGCATGGGGGAATGAGACAGACATGAATCCATGAATAGAATCTGAGCTGGTCCCAGAATGTCTCCCAAGAGGGGTCAAAGTCCTGGATCTACCCATGGATCCCGGGTGTCAAAGGACAGGGAGCCCCCCGATGGATCCCTGGGGAATCCTGGAGTTTGGAGGGGACTGGGGATGCCCAACACTGCCCCGTGGGGCAGCCCTGCCACCCCAGCCTGCTCACAGCCTCTGGACACAGCAGTGACACACCTGGGACAGGCTGGGAAGGGCACAGGGGACGCAGGGGACAGGCAAGGGGACAGTGCCACCCCACTGCTGGCTACAGCCGGGCCACCACAGGGACCGGCCACGGAGCAGGGACAGATCTCAGCGCACGCGGGGCCACCGGAGGAGTTCTGGGACAAATCTCAGCCACGGCCGGGCGGGTCTGCCCTCGGGGCTGTTCGGGCACCCCGAGGGAGGCTGCTGCCCCTCGGGTCCCCCGAGCAGTGCTCGGCCCATCACACCCCGAGGGATCCCGGAGCCCCCGAGCGAGTTCCCGGCTCCGCCCGGTTCCCTCGGGCCGGTCCCGCAGCCCCGGACCTGAACTGGCCGTAGTCGGGGACGCCCTGGCGCAGCGCCCGCAGCTTGGCCTCGCCCTCCCGCTGCCGCCGCTCGTCCTCCGCCAGCGCCGCCCGCAGCTCCCGCTCCAGCACCGGGAACGCCCCGGCCGGATCCATCCCCGGCTCCATTCCCGGTTCCATCCCTGGATCCATCCCCGGCTCCGTGCCCGGGGCGCGGGCAGGCACCGCCGCCACCTGCGGGACGTGGGGACACGGCCGGCCTGGGGGCACAGGGACCCCTCCTGTCCAAACAGCCCTGCCTGCGATGGCTTCGAGGACACACTTGTGTCACACCAGCGCTGCCGGGCGGGCTCGACAGCCCCGACCTTATCGCGACAGTCCTGCCCTGTGACCCCCACTGCGGCAGCCCAAGGCCGCGCACGCGGGTGTCAGCTGGGAACGTCTCCCCTGTGCGAAACCCCCAGGCCCTGACGCCGCCGGCCCCGCGGCCGCGCTCTCTATCGCGACAGCCCCGCCGGTGACGAACACCTGGGCCCCGGGGCCGCGCGCTCTGTCGCGACAGCGCCGCTGGCGCCGTCGGAGCGCCGGAGCCGCGCAAGGCCCCCGGGGCTGCCCCGGCCGCGCCCGACAGAACCGGCCCCGCCGCCCCGCGCTGCCCCGCGGCCTCCGGGACGTTCCGGAACCGGCCCCGACCCGGCGCCGCACACACCCGGCCCTTCTCCAGCGGGCGAGGTACTGGCGGCGGGCGCGGGACGCTCGGTCGCGACAGGCGGCGAGGGCAGCCCGGGGGCCTTCGGCAGCGGCGGCGCCGGCGAGAGCAGCGGCGGGAGCGGAGCCGGGGCAGGTGAGGGAGAGCGGGGCCAGGACCGGGGCCGGGGCCGGTGAGGGAGAGCGGGGCCAGGACCGGGGCCGGGGCCGGGGCCGGTGAGGGAGAGCGGGGCCGGGGCCGGTGAGGGAGAGCGGGGCCGGGGCCGGGACCGGGGCCGGGACCGGGGCCGGTGAGGGAGAGCGGGGCCAGGACCGGGGCCGGGGCCGGTGAGGGTGAGTGGGACCGGGACCGGGACCACCGGGACCGGTGAGGGAGAGGGAGAGTGAGAGTGGGACCGGGACCGGGGCTTCGGGCAGGGCTGGGGCTTGGGGCCAGGGCCCCGGTGCCACGGGCCCTGAGGGGGTTCTGTCACGGGCCCCGGTCTCTGCACCCTCCCGACCCTCTTCCCGCCCCCAGCATGGACACCGACCTGTACGACGAGTTTGGGAACTACATCGGGCCCGAGTTGGACTCGGACGATGACGACGACGAGCTGGGCCGAGAGGCCAAAGACCTGGACGAGGTGAGGAGGGGCAGCGACCCCGGAGCCGGCGGGGCTCGTCCTGACCCGGGCCCGGAGCGGGGACGGGCCCGCGGCTGCTCCTGCTCCCTGCGGAGCCCTGAATGCCGAGGGTCCGAGCGGGGCTGGTGTTTAAAGAATTCACAAAATCCCTTCCTGGCGTAAAGAGAAAGATCTAGCTGGAATGGCAGAGGGAGCCGCCAGCTCCTGGGCTGGGCTGGGTTTGGTGTCAGGCCCACGGCGGGTCCGGGTCCCCTCGGGAGCCCCTCGGGAGGGAGCTGAGGCTGCTGCAGGAGCCGGATCCCCGCGGGGGAGGCAGAGCAAGACCCCACGGACACGGGGGGAGCAGAGGGGCTGCCCCAGGGGGGATTTGAGGGAACCCCTTCCCGTGTCCTGCTGGTCCGTGGGTGGGGTTGTGTTACCGGGTGTGGTTCTTGCCTTGGGCTGTGGGGTCCCTGCAGGTCCAGGGCTGTTGCTGATCCAGGAGGGAAGAGCTGTGCTGCTCCTCCAGGAGCTGCTCCCAGGGCACCCCTGTGGGTGCTGGGGCTGCACTGGGGGTCCTGGCTCGGGGGTGACCCCAGGCCTGGCCCCCTGGGGGGCTCCACAGCAGCTCAGAGCGAGCCTTGGTTGCAGCTGGAGGATGATGATGATGATGATGACATGGGGGAGCACGACGAGGAGCACGCTGGGATGGAGGTGGTGCTGCACGAGGACAAGAAGTACTACCCCACAGCAGAGGAGGTCTATGGGCCCGAGGTGGAGACCATCGTGCAGGAGGAGGACACACAGCCACTCACTGGTCAGTGGGAGGGGCTGGAGGGAGGAGAAGGCTCTCAATGGATCCTTGGAAAGGGGAAATAATATTCCCTTTTGTCCTGCCCCTTTGGAGATCCCTCATAGCCTCAAGAACTCTGCAGATTTGGGCACTTGTGGTTTTTGCAAACCCAAACAAAGGTATCTTTGGAAGAACAGGAATCAGCAGAGGTGGGAGAGCTATTTAAGGGAGAAGTAAATGCATTTAAGTGATCTCCCGTGATCCTTCCATACTGGAATGGCTCAGCTGGAGGGGCCCTGCAGTGACCATCTCCTGCAGCTTTGACAAACAGCTGAGAGAATGTGTCAGCCAGGAAACTGAGGAGTTGTCAGCTAAAGTCCTCATTCCTGGGGGCCATTCCTGACCCTGCTGGTTCAAGGGCTCTGGGAACAGTTTGTTGTTCTGTCTCTTGTTTCAGAGCCCATTATCAAACCTGTGAAAACCAAGAAGTTCTCCCTGATGGAGCAGACACTGCCGGTCACTGTCTACGAGATGGAGTGAGTGTGGGGCTGGGGGGGCACGCCTGGGGGTCTCACTGACCTGAGAGCAGCCAGTTCCCAGGTTCTGAACCCAAAACAAGAGAAGTGCAGGACAATTTCACTGACATTTTCCCTCCCCAAGGAAAATGGGCACAGGGTAGGGATGGACACAACAGGGGAATCTCACCTCAGGGGCTGAGGCCAAGCTCCATAGCAACAGCTTGTGCCTCAGGAAACCTTCTTGGAATGATTTGGGTTGCAGGGGACCTTAAAACCCATCCAGTCCCATCTCTGCCATGGGCAGGGACACCTTCCACTGGCCCAGGTTGCTCCCAGCCCCAGTGTCCAACCTGGCCTTGGGCACTGCCAGGGATGGAGCAGCCACAGCTGCTCTGGGCACCCTGTTAAATATCCACATGGTCAATGTGTAGCACACATCATATTGGGACATTTTGGGTTGATCCCAGTCTCAGATTAGGTCCCATCTGTTCCAGTTTCCATTGGGAATTAATTTTTATGCTGCTGGGTGAGTGCAGAGTGCTGTGCAGTCAGCAGGACACTGCAGCTGTGCTGGGTGGGTCTATTCCTTGTGTCCCAAAGCAGCTTCTTGGACACCAGGGCTGGGAGAAAACCTCCTGGAAAAAATTCCAAATGCTTTTAAAATTGGAGATGTAGTATATCAAATGAGTAAACCATCCCCTTCCACTGTCCCAGGTTGCTCCCAGCCCCAGTGTCCAACCTGGCCTTGGGCACTGCCAGGGATGGAGCAGCCACAGCTGCTCTGGGCACCCTGTTAAATATCCACATGGTCAATGTGTAGCACACATCATATTGGGACATTTTGGGTTGATCCCAGTCTCAGATTAGGTCCCATCTGTTCCAGTTTCCATTGGGAATTAATTTTTATGCTGCTGGGTGAGTGCAGAGTGCTGTGCAGTCAGCAGGACACTGCAGCTGTGCTGGGTGGGTCTATTCCTTGTGTCCCAAAGCAGCTTCTTGGACACCAGGGCTGGGAGAAAACCTCCTGGAAAAAATTCCAAATGCATTTAAAATTGGAGATGTAGTATGAGTTTTCTGTGGAATAAAAACCATCGTTGGCTTTTTCTGGTAGAAGCCTGCTCTTGGTCTGTGTATTGTGGTGGGCAGGGGGTCTGTGACCCTGTACCTGCAGTGTGTGTGTGTTGTCTCTCTTTGGGATGAGCAGATGGAGCTGTGGGGGTCTCCTTGGGCTCATCACTCACCACTGTCAGGGCTTTTCCCAGTTTAAATGTTCCCCTGCAGGTGAGCTGTGGCTGAGCAGCAGTTCCCTGGTGGTGGGCAGTGCCTGGCACCCAGCACCTCGTGTTTTCCAGAGGGGACAGGATGCTCCTGGAGCTGGTGTTCACTCAGGGCTCCCTCAGCTGCCCAGGGCTGTGCCCAGTGCCTGGAGGCTTCAGCAGAGCTGGAGCAGAGCCCAGGAGCTGCTGGGGCTGGCTTTTCTCAGCCCGTGCTTTGGCTCAGTCCTGACCTGGGCTCTGCATTATCCACCACTTCCCTGATCCTTGTGTGCTCTGCTCATTCCATCTGTAATTAATTCATTTTTCTCCTATTTGTTGATATAAATGGTTAGGATGGGCCACGAGAAATTCCTTGTGGGATGTAGCCAGAAACTTGCAAGCTTGGTATTGATTTCCCATTTAGCCTTATTTTCAGACCAATTAGGAAGGTTTTAATCTGGGTTAGTATTGATTGCTGTATTTTTTAGCTCTTAATCAAAATGTTTTACATTAAGAAGTCTATTGCATCAGTGAAAATTTAATTTGTTTAAAAAGGAAATTATTTGACAGCACTTACTCTCTGCAGGCCTCTGGCAGTGACCGCATGTTTTATAGCCTCCCATTATTTTTTAGGGGTGGTAATTTAGGATCTCAATTATCTTTTGGCCAGCATCCATCCAGAAGTGACCAGCTCATCATTACCCATCTCAGCTGCTAATTTGAAAAGACTTAATTCCTTGAGTCCCTGGAATGTCACTGTTTTAAGGCTTGAAAATCAGAATTAATGGTCTGTGAAGCCCCTGGCTGCTTTCAGAGCTCCATGGGGTGCTTGTTATCCAGCACCACAATTTACCTGCCTGCCTGCCGTGGTTTGAGTGGAAGTGCTTCATCATCTGAGTCTGTGGATGTGATTTTTGCTCCAGTACTGACTAGAAGAGAAGAAAAATATTCAATAATATTCAATTGCTGGCAGCTTTACCAGCTCTGTATCCTCCCACCCACTGCCATCTGTCTGGGACTCCAACTCTCTTGTCCTCCCCATCTGGAAAGTGGGATTCTTCCTCCGCAGGGCACTGGCAGGATAAAAGTTTGGCAAAGATTCAGGGGGCACCTTGGATAGAAAGTGTAGCTGAAAAGCAGCACCTACTTTTCTTAGACGCAGCAGAAGCCTCCAACAGCCTTTTGTGTTTTGTTCCTGCAGTTTCCTGGCAGATCTGATGGACAACTCGGAGCTGATCCGGAATGTGACTCTGTGTGGGCACCTGCACCACGGCAAGGTGCTGTCACTGTCCAAAATGCAGGGGTGGGATGGTGACCTGCTGCTTTGCCAGCCCTCCTGGCCCCTGGTTCTCTGCAGCAGTACCTTCTGCTCCTCCTGCTCGTGCACTTATTTATAGAATCCAAGGATGGATTGGGTTGGAAGGGACCTTAAAGCCCACCCAGAGCCACCCCTGCCATGGCAGGGACACCTTCCACAGTCCCAGGCTGCTCCAAGCCCCATCCAGCCTGGCCTTGGGCACTTCTGGGATCCAGGGGCAGCCACAGCTGCTCTGGGCACCCTGTGCCAGGGCCTGCCCACCCTCACAGAGAGGAATTCCTTCCCACTATCCCACCTACCCCTGCCCTCCAGCTTGAGGCCATTTCCCCTTGTCCTGGCACTAGGTTTCCCTGTGAAATGCGTAGATATTTTTGTGGGTTTTATTTGTAGGTTTTGCAA